TTATGCCTGCCCCTGGAAACCAATAATCCACTTTCTATCTCTATGGATGTACCTATTTTGGACATTTCTTATAAATGGAATTATACAATATGTAGCCTTTTGTGACTGACTTCTTTCACCTAACCTGCTTTTTAAGGTTCATCCATGTTATAGCATGTTCGGTACATTTTTTTTTATTACTGAGCAAAATTCCATTGTATAGAAACACTACATTTGTTTATCCACTCACTAATTGATGAATACATTTATCAGTTGATGTGCATTTGAGTTCTTTCTACTTTTTAGCTATTATGAATAATGCTGCTATGATCAGTCCTGTACAAGTTTTTGTATGGACATGCTTTTACTTCTCATGGTTATCTATCAAGGAGTGGAATTGCTGGGTCATATAGTAATTCTATATTTAACTATTTGAGGTACTGCCAGACTGTTTTCCAAAGCAATTATACCATTTTACATTCTCACTAGCAGTGTATAAGGGTTTCAATTTCTCCATGCCCTCACCAACACTTGTTACTGTCTTTTTTATTTTACAATAAAAATGTAGGTGTGAAGTGGTAGGTCACTGAGGTTTTGCTTTTTATTTCTCTGATGATAAAAGATGTTCAGCATCTTTTTATGTCTATTTGTACTATCTTATTGGGCATTTGTATATCTTCTTTGGAGAAATGTCTATTTGAATTCTTAGTCTATTTTTTAGTTGGGTTATTTTTTTTTTAATTATTATTGAGTTGTAAGAGTTCTTTATATATTCTGGATGCAAGTCCTTTATCAGAGATATTTGTTCATATCATCTGTGGGTTCTGTTTTCAGCACTCAAGTTTTTAATTTTGAAGTAGTCAAATTTATCTTTTTTCCTCTTATCACTTATATTTTTGTTGTATCTAAGAAACCTCTACCTAACCCAAGGTCATGAAAAGTTATTCCTATATTTTGTTCTAAGGGTTTTATAGTTTCAGCTCTTAAATTTTGGTCTGTGATCCACTCTGAGTCGATTATTGGGTATGGTGAAATTGCAAGTTCTAACTACAACCATATATGGATATTCAGCAATTCCAGCACTATTTTTTAACACCTTCATTTCTTTAACTGTAGACTTTGACATTTTGCATTACATAATTCTTTTTTGTTGTTACCTGAAATCCATTGTGAAATAAGACTGGTGCAAATAAACTAACTTTTAAAAATTATTTGACCAAGGTCATACAGCTGATAAATGACAGAGCTGGGACCTTAACCATGGGTCTCGGAATGCCAAATTTCAAGTTTTTTTTTAGAACATGCTATCTGCCTTTCATGTAAACATTTCAGATTTATTTGGCAAACATAAGAAAAGGCAAACTTGAAACTATATTTAGTATATAAGGTGTGATTTGAGATGCCTAAGAGTCTGCTTGCTTCTTTTCATACAAGCCAGTGATAATAGCTAAAATCTACTGAGCACTCAGTTTGTGTCAGGAACTGTTTTAAACAGTGTATAACCATTTAATCATCACAACAATCCTGGAAAATAAGGGCATGTTTCTACCCTACTCTCTCTTCTTTTCACCGACGAGGACACTAAAGTACAAGTAAGTTAAATAAATTTCTCAAGATCACAGAGTTGGTAAGTGGTGATAACCCAGTCCACCTGGCTCCAAAGAGTGTGTTCTTAACCATTATGAAAGCAAATTACTTAAAGGAAAAGTATTCACCAGGCTCTGCTTAGATAGATCAACAACTGCCCAGAAAAGGAGAGTTTCTCCCACTGCTATCTCACATTAAGAGACAGTGACTGACAATTCTAAAGAAAGAAAATTATTAATACACCAGCATACAGTACAAAATTATTAAATGGCCATGATTAACTGAAGAAACAATCTCATATTAACAACAGAAAAACATTCAACAGAGATCCTGAAATGTGGCACAATTAAAGACTAAAAGTCAATAATGTAAATCGTGGAAGGGAAAGGGATGTTAGGCACAAATACAAAGGAAGGAACCCTGTAAGTCTCCAATGGCCACAAAATGAATGCACCCAGGCAATGTTATGACAGGATGTGTGAGGAAGTTGCATAACACAAAAAGGTCAGAGATAAATCCTTCCTTTATACCATGTATCAGTGAAATCCCTAATAGAATGTGGATGTCAATTTTGGTCACCACACTTCAAGAAGTATGAAAGAAATTGAAAAGGGTTTGAGCAAGAGAAACAAATAAACCAAAACAGAAAACCATATTTGTTAGGAAAGAACAAATTTGTGTTTATCAAAGACAGGAAAGGTTGATTTAATTACAGCCCTTAGAGAGGAAAGCATTTGAAGGCTCTTCCCCAAACTCTGCAGGCTTTAACGCCTTCCAGTCATTTACATCTCAGTCAGTGATCACTTTCTTAGGGCTTTTACCCTAAGTAGCTACCTCAGTTTCTAGCACATCACTCTGCTTTATTCCCTTCATAGCATGTAATACTCTGAAATTCTCACGTTTATGCATTTATGGCCTCTCTTGCCCCATTAGGACCCTGAGCACTGCTTCGTGTCTTGTACATACTGACAGTACCTGGGACATAGCAGGTATTTTGTAAATATTTGTAGAATCTGTATCTGAGAAGAAGCAACAAGGTAAATGAACTTTCAAAGCAGAGCAAGGCGATACCAGTGAAACCCAAGAGGGATTACTTATGCACCCAGGCAATGTTATGACAGGATGTGTGAGGAAGTTGCATAACACAAAAAGGTCAGAGATAAATCCTTCCTTTATACCATGTATCAGTGAAATCCCTAATAGAATGTGGATGTCAATTTTGGTCACCACACTTCAAGAAGTATGAAAGAAATTGAAAAGGGTTTGAGCAAGAGAAACAAATAAACCAAAACAGAAAACCATATTTGTTAGGAAAGAACAAATTTGTGTTTATCAAAGACAGGAAAGGTTGATTTAATTACAGCCCTTAGAGAGGAAAGCATTTGAAGGCTCTTCCCCAAACTCTGCAGGCTTTAACGCCTTCCAGTCATTTACATCTCAGTCAGTGATCACTTTCTTAGGGCTTTTACCCTAAGTAGCTACCTCAGTTTCTAGCACATCACTCTGCTTTATTCCCTTCATAGCATGTAATACTCTGAAATTCTCACGTTTATGCATTTATGGCCTCTCTTGCCCCATTAGGACCCTGAGCACTGCTTCGTGTCTTGTACATACTGACAGTACCTGGGACATAGCAGGTATTTTGTAAATATTTGTAGAATCTGTATCTGAGAAGAAGCAACAAGGTAAATGAACTTTCAAAGCAGAGCAAGGCGATACCAGTGAAACCCAAGAGGGATTACTTAACCATTTAAAGTAAAACCCACACATTGCTGAGAGATGCTGTGGGTCTTTAAGAACAGTCATGCATCTGTCAGATGTCTTGCAAACTCTCTGGCCTTTCAGCTAAATAATTTCCAGGGCTTACTCCCAACTCCGTGGTTAATACTGTACAGCTTAGAAATGAAGTCTTGAAAGAAAGAAAGAAGCAAGTAATCATTGAGTTCTTACTATGTACTAAACAGTGTTCTAGGGATTTACTTTAGTAAAAAAAAAACAATTTAGTCCTCAAAATTCTGTTAAGTACTGTTCTTTTCCTCATAAAACAGGGCTCTTCAGCCTAATGAGGTTAACAATTTGCCCAAGAGTACCCAGATCATAGGTGGTGGAGTTGGGATTTAAATCCAGACAACTGCACAACATACACCATTCATTTAAAGCTGAAAATGAATTTAAACAATGCAAAAATATATGAAACAGGAAGCATAATGATTGTTAGTTACAGAATAGAAATCAGATGACATGGATTTTCTCCATGGCTTGATATGCTCACTACATGGATCCTTTCAACTCCATCTTCTTAAAATAAAACATTCCAACACATCCTGGGGATATTGCTGATACACTGTTTTTTTCCTATAGTTATTGTTTATTCAAAGAAATATGATTTAAAATGAAACAAATATTCACATCAAACTAGAGAAATAATACAAGCATTATCTCATTTTATTGTACTTCACTTTCCTGTGCTTCCCAGATACCGTGTTTTTTTACAAATTAAAGACTGTGGCAACCCTGCATCAAGCAAGTCTACTGATGACATTTTCCAACAGCATCTGCTCACTTAATGTGTGTGTCACATTTTGGTAATTCTGGCAATATTTCCAACTTTGTCATCATTATTATATTTGATATGGTGATCTGTGATCAGTGACTTTGACTCACTGAAAACTCAGATGATGGTTAGCAATCTTTATCAATAAAGTACTTTTTAATTAAAGTAGGCATATATATTTTTAAATAATGTTATCTATCGCACACTTAGTAGACAAAGGTATAGTGTAAATATAACTTTTATGCAAACCAGGAAACCAAAAAGTTCATTTGACTTGCTTTATTTCAATATTCACTTAATTGCAGTGGTCTAGCACTGACCCCACAATATCTGAGGTCTGCCTGTACGGGGAAATCCCACGTATCTATGACACATCTTAAGCAATTATCAATGCAACGGGCAATCTGGTTTCATATATACTGAAAATACACACATACTGGGTTATTTCAAAGGAAATCCTAATGTGCTATTAATAGTAATTTTTATTCTACCCCTAAAAAGGTTTTATTGAGTCTGAAATATATCTAATTCCATTCTTTCTCAAGTAGAATCACTAACAGTACAAGAAACAGTCCCACGGAGGGTTTTGTTATCAAAAGAAAATCAATGGACATTACGAAAACTAATTTCTCAAAAATTGCTAAATAATCTCTTAGTGATATGCACTTAAGAATGACGTACATATTCTGAAAATACATAAAATGATAACACCTTAGGTGCTACATTATAGCAGGAATGAAAGACAAATTAGAGACATATTTTATCAGTTTTAAGAAAACTGACTAGGGATTTAGTACCTATTATGCTGATAAACATTATTCCTAAGTGTCATGAGAGGCCAATAGACACAAAGGTAGAACAATCAAATACCTACATATACCTGTTTGTCTCCCAGCAGGTCAGGCTCTCCTTTGCTAGAATCAGAGCTGACATCATCTTCATCAGAACTGTTGACAACTTCCTCCTCATCTGAAGGAAGGTCACGGAGACCAAGATCCAGGTCACTGTGTTCTTCCTGGGATGGTGCAGAACTGTTTAACAGAAAGGGCCACATCAGCCACCTTTAATAACAAGGACTACTGCACCCAAAATAAACACAGGCAAATGAAACCATTCCTTGACCACGTATTCCTGAGACTAAAGCAAGGTGCCTCAAAGGGATGTAAATAGAGGGATTTAAATAGCTAACTAAGGTCCCCTTCTTTTCCCCCATCCCAGGTGTCAAAAACCCAAATTCATTTTCGGATTAAAAGAGTCATCTTGAAAAATGTGTATTTTCTTGAAAGAAAGATGAATGAGAAGAAAGTTCCCCAGCTGCCCCCATCCTATGCTTTCATATATCCTTGCTCTAGAGAAGATCAGGTCTCCGCTAGTACAAACCGAGAAGCCTCACAGGATGTGGGCCACCTAAAGAGCACTGGCCGCCCAGGAACATTAGAAGAGGTGCTGCTTCCCTGGGTCTCAGTTTTTTTTTTTTTAAAGCAACTAACAAATCCACGAGGATTGGGAGGGTAATGATGATAATCACAACTAACAATGCAGCATGTGGTATTATGAACATGCACCCACCTCCCTGGTTATCACCAATTGCCTCATATATCTACATCATTAGATATGGGAAGGAAAGATGATAAAAAGTCTTGGGCTCTGCTCTAGTTCTGCTGAATTAGAAACTCCAGGGGTGTAGGGCCCCAGGAGATACATTCTGAAGTTTGAAACCCACTGTGCCCACCATATACAACTCCATCTTGTCAACCTGACATCAACATTTCTCACTTAGTATTGCGACAGATCTCTTGAATCTAAAAGCCATTGTTGGCAATTCAATCTGGGACTGGGAGTGGGGGAATTCCATAGCAAAGTTCCCCAGGAAGGCAGCAGAAATAATTCTTTTTAGCTTTGGTAATAAAGCCTCAGAAACAAATTGCCTATAGCAACTGCTTTCCCATATGCAGCCTACAGGTACATCTGCAGAATAGAAAAGTCAGTGAAAGATGTATAGAAAAATCATCAGGGAAAACATTCGGGCAGAATAAAGAGATGCTGCATTTCACTCCGCAGGCCCCTTCAGCAGGTCACGGGGCAGGTCACTCAACTGCCAAGGCTCCTTCAAGTTATGAAAATTTCTAACAGGAATCTTAGAAGCAAAATATGAATTTTCTGCCAGTTCCTGATTACACTCTGCAGGATACAGACTTGTCTCACATGCCACTCCTGGAGCCCAACAGTTATACAAGCCAGTGGAAGGAGGCAGAATGCCAAAAGGAACACCTCTCTCTGCCAAACACAGGGTTTCCTATTATTCAGTGGCTGCAGCACACCTCAGGGCATCGTATCACAGACTCGATTAGGTGTGTATACACCTTATCATAGCTCCCATGACTCAGAGGAGACTCACTCCCCAGGGAGGGCTGGGGGTGGACAGCGGAAGCTTTCTAGTCAGATCATTGGCAAGATTCACTGTCTCTGCGCAGGGATATGAGCCCAACCCAGCTGGGCAATTAGCTGATTTAGATGAGCAAGAGTAAATGATAGTTAACAGGACGTACAGACTGCAGGATCCCTCCATATAAAGAAAACTTACCTTTATTGGTTTTTATCCTAGTATTTATCTCATTACAACCCCCAAAACCCTGTTACTCAGACATAATTTATGAGCAGCTTTAGCATCACCAAGGAGCTTTTAAGAAATGCAGACACTCAGGCCCAGCCCTATCCTACTGAATCAGAATTTGGTGGTAACAAAGTTCCCGATAATTTGGTTTTTTGGATCAGCCTACCTGTGTGCTCTTTTGGACTCAGCAGCACAAAGGTTTTGAATAATCAGTAACAGGGCTATGGCACCTGTGAAGAAATGAGGTTTATCTTGTCTAAAGAGAGAACTGAGAGTGCTTCTTGGTCCAGTATGTGGAAAGCAATCGCGAAGAAGTTAGTAACGAGCTGGTCGCCATATCCATTAGGGATATAAATGTTAAAAAGAGCTTTAAGTATTAAAAGGACATGGATCAATACATGTGGCCACAAAACAGTGGGAGACTTTGATTCTGAAAATTGTTTTCCTACAGAAAACCTTCCCTGACGGCCCTCTCCCTATCCCAAATCAATTTACTTATCTCTTCTGAACCCTGTATGGATCTCACACGACTGCGCTTGGTGATGTGTTTCCCTCATTAAAATGTAAACTCCAAGGACAAGGAAATTGTCTTCTTCAGTGGAATCTCCAGCATATTGCTTAACACATAATAGGCCCTCAATACATTTGTAGTGAACAAACAACAATTACATTAGAAAGCACTAGGTGTTAAATTTCAGGAGCTCGACAGTAGGATTTATTATGGTGGTGGTGATCACAGAGAAAAAGTGTGTATGTTTAAAGGAGAAGGGACATTCTGGGCATCACAATCAGTGGCACGGAAGTGAGAATGTTTGTATTCAGAAAACAAAAAGGACATGTTGGTTGCAGTAGGCATTTCCTCTAAGTCAGTCATGGAAAACCAGCTTGTAGAAGAGGGTAAGCGCCAGGCTGTTAAGAGGCATGAACAAGAGCTGAAGAGTTTATAGTCATCTCGGAGGCCTTCAACAAGAAGACTCTAATCTGCCACTAGACCTCAAGGATTTCCCTAACAGACCTCCAAGCTGGAAGGTACTACCTTACTTCTTTCTTGTGAGTACCAATAGGGAAATGAATGGCACTTCTTTTATCAATTAACTTTTACAGGCACACCCCTGCCCCATCCCGCAACCTAAGCAAGGAAAAGGATATTCCTTTTTTTATTAGTATCAGTGAGATCCCTGATGATCTCAAAGCTTAAATCAAACTTAAAGCAGCTCCCCACACAACTGGATGGTAAACAGTAGAGACCTTTTATGGTATCTGAAACTTTGGAGGCAGGAAAATGAACAGAGCAAAGGTTTTAGGAAGGTTAACCTAGTAATCTAATGCCGTGAACTAATCAAGGACAGAACTGGGAAGTGAGCACAGTGACAGAAATGGAAGGAGACTGAGGAGGTAATTTCAATAGCACAGGTGGCCTGAACAGGGGTGGTCACATCTGGAACTGAGAGGAAGGGTAAGATGTAAGAGGAAGACAAATCATCAGGGCAAGGGCAAAGAGGTGGGGGCAAAACTCAAGTCTTCCTTCAAGGCTTCACCAGCAAAATGAAGATGACTTCCATTGAAGAGAAATATGGTAACAAGGCATCTGATTTTAAAGGAAAGTTAATGGGTTTAGCAGCAAAATCAGGAAAGAAGGCATCTAAGTTTACACACTTACATGTTCATCTCTACATGATTAAGCTGAAAAAAATGCTGGTTAATCTGTTTTCCTGTGTAATTGTTAACAGCTTTCAAATCTATCTAGATAATTTTAGATTTCTGATCATGAAATACAGATTCCTTACTGATGCCTTTCACTGAATTTGGGGCTCTTCTACTCTGTATTTCCTTCCCACTGTCAGAAAGGCGATATCCTGACACTATCAGCTTTGCAGGTTAAGGACACAGGACGTAAGTGTTTCTCCCACACTTTGGTGCCTAATTATTTCATAATTTGATAATCAAAACAAAAAGAAAGTAAGCTACAGTAACAATAACCAGAACAGAGTCTAGACTGGGCTCTACTTCCCCAGGCCATCCTTTCCAAGTCAGAGTTACTTGTGGATGGAGTCTTGCTTCTAGAAAAGAAAAGTTTTCTCAAATATTGGAGTAAGACAGAGACAAGAAGAGCCATTAAGTAAATTCTCACTGATTAGGCTACTATTCCTTCAATTCCAATGCCAAGGATCTATACATTTGAAGCAATAATGACTTAATACCATCACTTCTTCAAAAAATTACTTATTTTTCGTTTATTACTTTCTAGATATAAACAGTATATCCTCCACTATCTTTCAGGTAAGATAGTATCACATCAGTGATGATTTCTCTCTTAGAAGGAGTTTTTTTTTTAAGGGTTCTTACTTAATCCATTTCCTTTAAGGAACATAAAACCTGCTCAATGCTCAGTACTCACCAAAACCTCCTAGTGAGCCTATTTACTTAAAAATGCCAGCAAAGGGAGGGGAGAAGAACAGGGAGGGCAGAGAGAGGAAAGGACAGGCAGAATTAACAGAACAATGTTTTCAAAGCACTGAATCCCATCCATTGTTATTGACAAATCCAGTTACCTTTTTCCCTCTTGCCTATGATTTTATTCTGAGTCCTTTAGACAAAGAATGTTCCATGTAATTTCTCCCAAACTTGAAGAAAGAAGTTCATTCCAATATCCCCACTGTCTTTCTCATTTTCAAGTCACAACATGTAAATCTGAACTGTGATCTTTCTCTTCCTCCTCTTTCTACTCCGGGACCAAACTGAACAGAATCTGCCAGTCCTCAGCATGTTGCTGTAATTCTTCTGTAAATGCTGTCTCATTATGACTTGTGATTATGTGTTTCCTTTGGCTGCTTTCATATTTATCACATTCTAAATGGAAAAAAAACTACTATTAAGAACTTGAAGGATGAACATTACAAGGAAAAACTGGTAAAAAAATTTTTTAATCAGTTATGTATCATTATATATGTGAACTATGTAAAACTGGTTTACAATTTTCACTAGAAAACTGTTCCTATTTAGCGTCATTAAAAAATGTTTTTCTCTGTTAATTCAGTTCCCTTATGAAATTTCAGATTCTGGTATCAGGTTGAAGACTATGAGTCAAATCAATTAAAAAAACAATTAAAAAACCATTCTATTCTTCTTTTCAGGCGCTCTTCTCAATTACACAGTACTTGCAGAATTTTCTCCACCCCACTAATAGATACGATTCTCCTGGGAAGTACCTCTACTAGGAGTAAGTTGTTTTGTCTACTTTTAGGAAACACGGCACCAGTTGTGTAATAACTACATGTGGCCATTTTCATCCTCTAATAAAGCAAGATTCATATATTCAGGTTATGCTTTTTGGTTCTCCAAACATCATATCTTGCACAATTATTCTAAATATGTGCAAAGCCAGGGTGACAGAACGTAAAAGCCAAGAGATAACAC